AGGAACTATCATTAAGATTTAAGTGCATAGAAGTTTGGCACAAGTGGTAAGTTGGTGTTTTTATATTCATTAGATTTCAAGGAATTTTTATTAAGATGTAGAGGCGTCGTGGTCGTGATAAAGTGCAAATAGTTAATCAGTGTCTTTATATCGTTGAGCCATTAAGTGGTTGTTTTTGTCTTCTCAAAATGTCTTTCAGTATTTTACTACTGTGAAGAAAAAAAAAAAAAAAAAACTAAGCTGATCCTTGAGATAACAGTATGATCAGTCAAGAATATCACAATGAAGCAAACTTTAACCGAAAAAAGTTTTCATTTTTGGCTGTCAGGTTTCCTTTATTAGTTTTATTTAAAATATCTGGTTTTGTATCCGTAACAAGCAATTTTTAATACTTCTACAGACCAGATTTAAAGTAAAACTTCAATACATATTACAGCGAATTCAATACATATTATAGCGAATTCTTTAGCTAAAGGGAGACTTACAACAGATGTATGTGTTGTTGATAAAATCTTGAGAATACAAGATAATTTACGAATACTATCTTTGAAAGTTTTTGAAGCTACTAGCCGGACCTAAACTGACAAGAAAACTAACCATTCTTCTTGAAAATATTCGAACGTCTTAATCAATGCAACCTTTGCATTGCAAAACTTCTAAAATCATCACTCTTCTTTTACAAAATTGTAAGATTAAAACAGTTTCTGTATGTTATTTATTATATTGGTTTACATCACACCAAACATCTCAGATACTACTAGGCTGTAATATTTTTAAATCCCGTCTACTAAATGTTGTCGTAGTATTTGTAAGGAGTGTTACTATTAGTAATCAAAAGTATTCTTTTCATTTACATTTTTTTAACAAATACTAAACGGTTGAGAAAAGGTGGGACGTGTGGTCAAATTTCTAAATATAAGTAGAACAAGGTTGGGCGTACACCTTATTCGTGCCGTAAGATGGATTTCCTTCAAACAGCATACTGGAGCTCCTTTTTTTGTACATGTACGGCAAAGTCTTAATAATAATCGTTTATTTAACCTTATTTATCTAAGTGTCATTAATTGGTAATTTACGTGGATTTTAAGTTCATCAAGTAAAACGGTCCTCTTAATTCCAAGTCTCTCGCTTCTGTTTGGTCTTCTTTTTCATGTGTGCGTAAGTAGAAGGGGCCATCTAATCGGCACGTGAAGCGAGTTCGTGGGTTATCATCGCGATAACTCATCGTCGCTGAAGCGATAAATCCCTTGTGGTGGCTTCCTAGACGTACTCGTCTTAATTTGCTGACTGATTTGCCTATCTTTCTTTTTTTTAAGGTTCTTTTATTTTGTTGTTTTTTTTTTACGATCATCGTACCGTGACGTCTAGCCACTAGATCCCGTTGAGTATGCGATGTGCCCACAATTGTATTTTTTTTTTTTTTATNATCTAAGAGATTAATGAGTCTAATGCAGTATAGATGGTAAGGGATTTAAGTTGATATCAAATTGTTATTAATTAGCGCACAAAGCCTGCTCAACGAAAAAGATCGTATGTTCAAATATAGTTTTTTTTTTATTATTTATACTTATTATTTTTTGCACTCAGTATTTGGTTAAACTAAATTTAGGATTCAAGTTTGAAATATGTTGTGTAGAATTTATTAAAAGTCTGATTTATTGATGTATATGCGAAGACACGTTAATCATAAACATCGTGTGAGATCCATATAAGAAAGGGAATTTTCTTGTGATTTAGATATTTATATCGTTGTTAAGGGCGAAGTAGCGTTAACGTTCGAGAATTAATTTTATTTAAATTGTTGTATAATCTTTAATCTTAAATCTAGAAAAATCGTGAATTGTGCGATAATTTATGAACCACGAATGATTGTAAGAAAAAATCAAATTATATACTTTATTTCGAGTCGACAATTAAAAGTGGTTGATTACAATTAGATGACTAACGTTATGTTTTCTTATTTTCTTTATCCGTTGTATCGATAATTTAGCCATAGTGCCAAAACTAAACTTTGTAACTTACTAAACAAATGACTTGAATTTACTTTAAAATTGATTTATAATCATTTTGCATTTCTTCTTTGCATCTTGTAATCCTGGTCTCACCATAAACCCTATCCCACATACAAAACAAATACACGCAATTTATTTCAGTAAAATTTATTAAATATAAAAAGTGTACCTGACTAAAACCTATGTATACGAATAACAACCAGATAACTTTGTGACACTGTTTTAATATGTTTACATTTTCATAAATGTAAAATACTTGTTACTAAATTATTTCAAGTTGAATTTATTCAATTTATGCACACGTATAACTAAATGAGCAGACGTAAATCAAATTATTTGTCGTCGATTTGAAAGCTGTAAGCACGGTGATTGTTTCAATTACCTAAGGCCCTTATTCTTGTTGTAAAAAAGGAGCACTGGGACAAGTAGGATGGTAGCTTTCTACCAAGCAAAAGGTCTAAAAGGCGTTCGAGTATTTTGTTTTTTTAGTAAGTCTTTGCGAGAAAAATTAAAAAATCTGACTGTCTTCAATACTTAAGAGCACCAATTGTCTACACTTTAAAAATACAGTGGTCTCGTTCAGTTTGCACAACTTTTAGTTAATATCATTACAACATTGTTTGACATTGGACAATCAATTATCGTAACACATTTTTTTTTTGTCAGTGAGATTTCAATGTACATAATGACAACGGAAAGTTACTGAGGAATAAATAAACGTAAAGTTTATGATATTTATAATTTGACATAAACAGACTTATTATTATTACAGATTTTTCGATTTATTTCTATAAAAATCTTTATCTTATTTCAATGTTTATGCATATTCTAAACCTTTAATCGTGTTTGTAAAAAATTATTTGCTGTAGTGAAAAAAAGTTAGTTGAACAAAATACTTTGCTTAAGAAAATTAAGTATATTACGTTCCTAGACCAGAAAGTAATTTAGTTCTCGCTTACGTAACTAATTGCGGCAACGACACACAATCAGTGATAGCTTATTTTACGGCTGCGGTGCCTACGCTTTTTTGCATACATATGCTTGAGAGTAAATGTTTCACTAAACTACAAAATTATAAGGTTATGATGTGCTGGAGCAGAAAATACAGTTTTTCAGTAGGGGTATTAAAAAAATCATATAAATACTAATAAGCAATCTACTTCAAATTAAGAATCTAAGAATATCTAGTTAAACTACTCAAACAAATATGTCAAGAAAAATAATTTTCTATTCCTTCTTTACAAACAAGTGATGACGTTGTAACTGTGGAACAAGCTTTTTTCAGTGTAACTTTTTTTGTGAATAGTAATATCAGAAAATATTTAAATACAATTAAAGTTTTAACTATACTGTGAGTAGAATTAACAATAATCATTATTATTATCATTACCATGACTATCATTATCATCATCGTCATCGTCATCGTCATCCTAATAATTATTATTACTATTTGTGTTACTGTAAGCATCGTTACATTTTAAATTATATGTAAATTCTTTTTAACGTTACTTCAAACAAAAAATATTAGACTCGGAAACGACTACCTAATGCACAGTTGAAACGTCATTATTTGTCTGTGAATGAAGATTTTAATATAATTTCCATAAAGATCCTTATTTAAATAATCTATTTTTAGTTAACAGCTTCTTTATAAAAAAAAAAAAATTACTTTTTCTTAAGTAAAAAATTAAATAAATTAAATTAAATTTTGACCTTTAGTAATATATAACTTGTACAACTAAATATTAAATCTTTGTCACATAAATTATAATTTACAATATTTATATATTTATTCTACGATGATTTTTAGAGTACGTTTATGGTAATATTTAATATTATAGCAGTTATGACAACACGTATGAGGTTAGCAAATAAAATGAAATAATATCGTATGAATATTGCTTAACTCACTTACTAATCAAGTTCATAAATAGGATGCTTTGGCACACTTACTTTCTTAATGAAGATGTCTAAAAAAGTTAAAATTCATTACTTATATGGCATACAAAGTAATGCATCATTATGATTTACACTTAATCACTAATTTTAGTTTTCAAACTTTGTTGAACAACACTATACATACATGAGTCATTATTCAATAGATCTACATTGATATTTGGACAGTTTAAAAATACATAAATATATTTTATTTTTTTAAAGACATGCTTCAGGGACAATACTACAAATTTTTATTCGCGAATTTCTTATTTCTAGTTTACAATAAAAGTGATGTATAATGGCCTTGCGATAGTAGTTTACATAGTAGAAGTATTCTACTTTTGAAATAATTTGACACAATTCTATTCTAATTTGATTAGTGATTTGTGTTTATGACAATATTAATCCTGTAAACAAGACAAAAAAATTTTATTTTTCTGTCTACAGTTAAAAAATAGAAGATATCGAAAATTTTAAGGTTTCTTACAGTGAACTGTAAATAAATATTTTTATTGTTTGAAAACCAGTTGTTTTTTTAAATTTTATAATTAAATATTTATACAAACACTAAAGAATGCTACACTTANACAAATGAATTAGCTTTTTGAAAAATGTATAAACTGGATAAAAGTTATTTTCATGGATTCATTTTATTCATATAAATATATGATAAATTTAATATATTTGTAAATCGTTACATCGTCATCTGATTTTATTACTTATTTCAAAACATGGTTTTACAAAATTATTTAATGATTATCATGGTATTCTAATAATAAAGATGAGAACGAATTTCTTACTAAACCATTTAAAAAATGCTTTACACATCTAAGTGATCTCATGTGCTTACGAACACTTTTTGAAAGTAATTTAATAAATTACAAGTTTTACAAGTAAATTCTCTGAATGTACAACCGTATGTATAATATAATGTTGTGCTAACAACTTTGTAAAAAAATGAAATTGACCTATCTATTTAACCTTAAAACAACTTATTTAATAAGTAGAAGTTTTAATTTTGAAGATAAATATTTATCTTTATTTATGTTTAAGACATGAGGTAAAAAAACAACTCTTGTATTATCAAAAATAATAAAAAGCCATGTAATTAAATTCCTCTTCTAGGAGCACTAGGAATAAGAAGTTGGGTAGCTGACATAGCATCAGGAAAGAGTGAATGATAATTAACGACAGGCACATAAGCAGCGGTGATCACCCGACCAGCAAACCATCTTCCGTGCAGAGAGTTGACAGCTGCTACAGCAGTAGCAATAGATGGACATTTAACATAAACGTTTCCTTGAGGAGAAGCTTGGTCGACGTATACGTGTAACACTCCTCCATGTTTATTACACTCTTCTATCACATCATCTCGTATTTCTTTCACCCAACTTATATTAGACTCACTAGAAAAGATAATAACTTTGTAAACATATTTTACACGTATAATTTTAATAATGTAGTTATGTTAGTTAAAAAGCATTAAGTATGTAATAAACAAAAAATAATAGTATCAGATTTTAAATACAACATCGAGTTTTTATAACATTCTAAAAAAATCTGATGTCACTGAAATTTAAAATGTAAAAAAAAATCGATTTTACATTGCATGAGGTAATTTTAGACTTAAATCCAACACATTTACGGGTTACACATTTGTTCTTTATAATACTGAGTACTGAAAGACTAATTTAATAAAAGTTAGTGTTGATTAGATATTGTAATGATGATTTATTTTTAATTATATTACATGAAAAAAAAAAATTAAAACTGTTATAATTCAAACCAGTAGAAGTCCTTATCTTATAAGCTATCACGATATGTATCAGCTGCTTTTTATTCCATTATTTGATATGGTATGATATGATAACACTTTTCACAAATGTATTATACTTTTTAATCTTAATATTAATGACAGAATCACCTCTATGTTCTGAAATATTTAAATGGTTATTTATCTAAATTGACTTTTTTCAACATAATTATGATTATCAGCTATTATTAGCTCGACAATTCAGATGTATTTTAATTTGACCACATTTCTCCAAAAACTTGTACCTGGTCTACGACAATTAGGTGAGATCTCACCTGAGATCTTAGGCGACTATCTTATGCCAAAAACTCACCTGAGATCTTAGATGAGATTATGTATAAAATATCCTGACATAAAAAAAAAATTTGAATTAATTTTTTAGTATTTAAAGCTGCCCCGTCAGTGATACCATTTGGAAACAATAGTTAACATGATAAATGTTCTCTTAAACACAAAACCTTGTAAGTTACATGTTTTAAGCTCTCATCAATACACAAATGAATTAGTTACTTGCTTCAAAACATCACAATTATAAAACTTAATAAGTTACATGTTTCAAACTTGAAAATCTCCACTTAGAGAAAAGCGAAACGTACTTTATTCGTAGATGGCACAGTTAAACTACCACACATATGCATATCACTGTCATCCTGTTGTGAAACGTAAGGTATACAACGTGAAGCGCCAATTGATCCCTTTCTTTGGCTAGTAAATTGAGCTATAAGTACAGTACAGCTATAAATATTATGAACGAGCCACAGTGTCGATACTGCTGTACGACAGTCAACGCGTAGCGTTGACAGTGTATCACCAGCTGATCCACTGACTGGGTTAAGGAACGAATAATGAATTTTTATGTTATATGACTGTGCAGAGCGGCAGATGCACCAATTTTTTCTTAGTATGAAAATTCAACAAGTAACAAACATCAAGCTTTCATTAATATAACGCCCGTTAGGTTTACACGTCTTAAAATCTTAAAAATCTTATGAGTCACACACGTCATGAATTCACGTCGTTGCCACTCATGAAGCTATATTTTACGAACCACGCACTTGAGGCTTTAAAATTAAAGTAGAGTAGCATATAATGTACTCAGTTTTACTGTAATAAGATCTTTAAGAAAGTTACTTGCTGGGTTTTGTACTTCAGAGAGCTTGAAATGTGTTATTTATTAGGTTTTGGATTGTGAACGCTGAAAGCTTTGAACTAGGTAGCTTTAAGGGTTAAGAGAACCTGAAGTTTGAGACTTATTAGATTTTACATTTCAAGCATGCGACTTTCTGGTTTACAAGTTATTCTGTATTGAATCATAGAACTTGGGTAACAGAACATGTAGGACCTTGTCTTTTTTTATTAGGTGTTGTTTCAATACTATTAAATTATTAACGGGAAAATGTCACTTAGACTAGACTATGAGTTGTTCATAGTTATGGTTTAATGGTAAACGTGTTGGATTGAATTTTAAACAATGGAAATTATTTTTTGGAGATATGCTAGGTCTTTGGTTTCATGAAATGAATTTCTTCTAAAAATTTTCTTTTTCGTGGCTTTCTCCATCTCTATCCTTTTTTTGATCTATTTTGTAAGGTGAATTCTTGCCTTTTAAAATTTTCATTAACATTTAATTTTTGCATATTAGTATCAAGCTTTTACTTGTGTAACCACTACTTTTCTCTGATGCAAGTATAGCTCTTGAAACTCTCGAATCTTAAGGATAAACTATGCGGTTAGTTTTGATTTTTCTTATTCCACTAACATTTGTGTCATAGAAGTAACAATTAGCCAGACTGTTTGGCTCCCTCTATATTGTAGGAGAGACAAACTTAAATTTTTTGATTTCTAGCAGTCTTGCATGCGTTTAATATGGACAAGCAAGCTTCACAGATAGTTTGAAGAGCCCATACATCTTCGCAAAAATGTTGCATATAGAGATGACAGATTTTTTCTAGACATTTAAAAGGGAGACAAATGAGAATAGAAGTGAAAAACGTTAGAATAATCCTCTGTGTAGATCTTTGAAGGATAAAAAAATACGTAACTGGGAAAAAATTGAATAAAATTTACACAGAGGCATGTGACTTTAGTGTACAGGGGGCTTAGAAGTTACTGAAATTAAAAATTTTTATTTAATTAACTACTTATTAAATGAAAAAGTAGACTTATTATGTACTGTCGATCTTCACTTTATTCGTTAAAAACGTGTTATAGCTGTTTCGGTATCACAGTACCTTCGTCAGACAGATGTACATCAAGACTTAATAAGTCTTATTAATAAGTCTTATTAATAATAATTATTATTAATAAGTCTTAATAAGACTTAATAAGACTAAGTAAGTCGTGATGTACATCTGTCTGACGAAAGTACTGTGATACCGAAACAGCTGTAACACGTTTTTAACGAATAAAGTGAAGATTGACAGTACATAATAAGTCTACTTTTTCATTTAATCTCATATGGATCTTCATCAAGTGACGACCGATAATATAGAATATTTAATTAACTACATTGAAATATTTGGAAACTGTTCTTTTTCTACTCTTGAAGATAAAATATTAATAATTTTAGCGCATTAAGCACTTGAACATAATAGATATGGTGTTTAAGACTCATGTTATGAATTTACTGATATTCAACAGTGATTGACTTAAAACTTACCAGCAGACGACCCCCCCCCCATTCTGAATTCAGGTTCAAATTCAGCACCAAAAATAACATAGGAAAAAACGTTTCACATGTCTAGTTCAGAGTTTTTTTTTGTAGGCCTGTGTAATTTTTTTCATAAAATCATTAGTGTAAGAAAAAAGCTTAAAAATATTGCATGCGATCGGAAGTAGATCATTAAACAACTAATAGATAAAAAAAATATATGTTCAATCAGTAAACAGTAAAACGAATTTAAAAAAATGTTGATTCTTATTAATAAACTAATTTTTTTAAATACTTCATCAACTTTTACACATTGATAAATTATAAAAACATTTTTGTAAAATCACTGGTAATATCAAATGGATTGGTTAAAAACACTTGCATATCCCTTCAACGATGGTTTTGTCAAAAATCAATACGTAGATAAGAGCAAACTTTAGTACACAGACGCCAATAGTTTTGTACATAAAATAATAAACAAGGAATTTATAATGTAATACATGATAATATAGAAGAACTTGACACTTTAAACTATTCTGCTAACTATGATTTTCATTTGCCTTGTGATAATAAAAAATATTTTCAGTTTTCTAAGAGATGAATGTAATGGTAAAATAATGTTGGGATTCATAAGATCAAGAATAAAATAGCATAAAGAAAAATGTATAGTTTGATGAATCAAAATCTAAATTCATTGAAGAAAGTTAAGCGATAAACTTTGACAACATCAAGTACCTGTGTGAGAAATCTATGATGACTCGAACGTAGAGGATTCTTAGAACATGATATCACCAGACAGTTTCTAAAAAAGAAGCAAAAATGCACTAACTGCATATAATGATACTCCTTACTTAAATCTGGCCATAGATAAACCATGGGATCTACTGGAAAAATAATGACTCCATTAAAACTGTCAATACAGAGAGATCACAAGCAGATAAGCCACATCGATACTAAAGGGGGCAGCTTTAGAGAAGTAAGTGTTTTAACTTCGTAAGTTCATTATACTCTTAAGCAAAGGTCTTAAAATAGAGCTAAGTGGATTAACCGAAGACGATACAACTTTTAGCTATCATTTTTATAAGTGAGATACTGTGTAGAAGCTAAAAAAATTAAAGGTACCGTACTTGTCAGTGTGGTAAACATATATGTGCACATTTGTATGTTCATATGAATATGTTAAATGAGAGTAACTTATGGGACAGCAATTTTTGGAACAGAAGTAGTCAGGTTGTTTACTAGGAAAATATCGGATTTAAAGAGACTGTCCGCAAATTGGCATAATGCTACGCGTATTTATGCCAAAAAAACATGTATAACCTGCATAACTTACTTTATGCATACACATATCAGTGATTTCATGGCTCATTTCGTGTCCAGGGCTCATGCTACTACATAAAACTTAAACTGAATATTCCAATCACATGAAGTTACGTTAAAAGTATATATATTTTTACCAAAAAAACTTTTAAGCTGATAACTTTACTCCTCAATAAAATAATTAAAAAAATGTTACTTCTGTGCCCTGTTCCAATCTCAATTTTGTACTATGAACCCCTACTAAAAAAAAGTTTTTTGCCATATTCTTGCACGTACATTGTCTAATATAGATGCCATATCTTACTTTTATGCCAGAATAACATTAATTTTTAATCTATAAGCAAGAGTTTTCATCAAATACTACATTTCCAACGATTTTAGCTAAAATGCCGATGATAGCAGAAATCCCTTAGAAAACCATATTGGTGCATCACATAACATCTTATACTGGTCACTTTTTGAATCTCACGCCATTACAAGACAAACGCACAAGCCAAAGCTGTTGAAAATTGCAATTTTTTCAATTGGTACATATTTCAATTTTCAACTTTCGTGTGTAAAAAAATTTTAGTCACTTCCATCTCTTCCCTAGACCCACAATTCCGTTACTCATACAGGTAAAA